AGTATGCAGATATGCATATGCAAATGTGATAGTTTCATTTTTTACAATCTTGTCTTCAGTGATTTCTTAGTGTGAATGTAGATTCTGAAGGAGCACAGGACAAAAATAGGCTAAAGCTGCTGCTGACTGCTTTCTTTATTAACCCAGCAGCTGATGAAGTGGACACAGTTACAGTAACTGCAATATTTTCCTCACCATCACTGTTGAGCTCATCATTTCCTCTGTAGTGGCTGAGCTGAATCCAAATGGCTGAAAATGTTCCTCTGCTGCTCCATCAGACTCTTCTCCTCCTGCTGATCAGCTGGGACACAAAACAGATCTTTGTTAGACTCCAATGAAAGCTCAGAGTGTCCCACATGTTCATCAGACAACACAGAGTGGAATTCGTGTGACACCTGAGAGTTGTGATATCAGGTAACTTCAGGAGAAACTTGACAGGTGCCCAGTACTGTGAAATATTTCATTTTTCATCAGACAATTTTGAGTGAATCATGTTCAAGACACCATCACAGACCGATAGACACGTTTTTGAATGAATCAGACACCAAACCAGTCTAAAGCCTTGGACAGGGAGTCCTTTCACAGCCAGCACCAGCATCCAGATTCAAAGCACGCTCAGCTGCAACGATGAGAAACAGGAGCAGAGTAAGAGTGACCTTCATTGAGCTGACGTGACTGAACAGAGCCTCCCTCTCTCAGGCTTACTCCCAGTACGCTCAGTGAGAGAGACATTAAACACAAAGCAGAACCTATAAAGATGTTGGTTTATCATTTATTATTTCACTAATAAATACAATTATCTTTTGTCACAGCGGTTTCCTATCCCAGCTATGATGGGGCGAGAGACGTGGTACACCCTGGACAGCTCCCCAGCCTGTCGCAGGGCTAACACAGAGACAGACAGCCATTTCCACTCACACTGACGCCCTTTTAGCTGTGAACTCCTTTGCAAACATAATTGGACATGCACAATAATGCACAGCTATGATAGAATGATTTGCTAAACCTGCTGTCCATTCTGCTGCCATTATGCATTAAAGAGCAGCTGCATGACATTCACAGGTGATATACGATATGCCTCAAGTGACTCCAATGGTGCCCAAAGCAGCAGCATCGCTTCTTCCTGTAATCACCATGAAAATCTTTGGTCGGAAAAACCAGGAGGGGGTGTTAATCAAAGCTCCTGATCAAAAACTGGAATGTGAAGGAAAGTGATCTTTGCAGCTGCTCCATGAAAAGCTGCAGATGTTACTTGAAAACATGCAGATGAACTTTTAATTTAGTCTCTTTTGGCAAAAATGGGATTTCCAGGATTTGCCAAAAACGACTGCAGGAACTTAAACTGTTATAAATCTGTCACCAATATGTCAAACAGACCTGTTGTGACTAAGCCAGACAGAAAATTCCTATTAAAAGAAGAAGCAACCAGTCAGTGTTGTGCATCCTTTATGTATCTGTAAGAAGTCTCGCTGACATGAAAAATCTCAGATAATCTGAAGAGGAGGGCAGCAAAAATACAGCATCACAGCTCTATAAACATGCTTCAATGACCAAAAGGACTGGATTGATTACAATGTAGGTGTAATAACACAGAGCCTTAAAAGCACTTGCAAACCAGGTGATTTCTTTATTTTATATAGAAGCCCTGTTCATTAAAGTCTACTTACAGATAGAAGTAAAGATATTAGACATAAAAACTCACAGAAACACCTGAAAGCATTGTCGCATATGATCAGCGGCTAACAGAGGGAGGATGAGCTGACTTGTAGCAAACACTCGGTCTGTAGAAAGTAGCGGAACATAGAAAACAACAGACGAGCCTGCTCTCGTTGGAAGCAGAGGCGGATTCTCTCTCTCTCTGCTGGTATGAGTCAGTGTCTCTTACCCATCAGCCTCAGTGAACGGATCTTCTATGTTAGTCTGTACAACAAACAACAAACGCAACAATGACCGTGTACACGCCCGTGTGTGCCCGCCTGTCACAAACAGCAGCGGTAGCATCAAAGTCAGGCCCAGCCCGTTTGGTGCACCAAACAGCTGCAGCATGCTGAGCTAATGGTTAGCTGGTGTTCTTCTCCAAACACTCTCTCACTCTTCTCTCAACGTGTTCACAATAAACTGTGAACAGACACCGAGGAGAGCAGCAGAAGACCTCATTCAGGAGCTAAACTCAACATGAACTGAACTCACAGCAACGTTAGCTCGGTGCTTACCTTTAGATGAGAGAAACTCGGTTTGTGATCCAGCTGCAGCTCTTCTCCGCCTCTTCCTGTTCCTCTTTACATGCAGTTTACAAACAATGAATAGGTGCATTATCGCCACCAACTGGTGTGGAGAAACTAATGTGATTGAAGTTTGATCTATGTGAGGTTTTTACTCATTTTCAGATTTCTGACCTTTTCTGTTTTAAACTGTTCTCTTTAATCCGGTGCGTCATGTGAGAGTCTCCTCTCTTCCAATTTATCCTGCATTGTTTTGAATCCTGAAAAAAACCTCCCTGCAGGCAGGGATTGCTCAGTAGGTAGAGTGGTGGCCCCACGATCGGATAATCGCGGGTTCAATTCCCCTGAACAGCTACCCTGAGGTACCCCTGAGCAAGGTACCATCCCTACACACTGCCCCCCGGGTGCCCAATGGCTGCCCACTGCTTCACCGAGTGAATGGGTTAAAATGCAGAGAGGGATCAATAAAGTAAACTTTCTTTAAACCATCTTCCCCCCCTCGCTGTTGACCTGTTTAAGCCGTCTCTTCCAGAGTTAATGAGCCAGTATCCAGGAGAACATCATGTTCTATCTCTGTTTAAATGTCTGTTCTGTATTCTGAATGAGATCCCTTCTCCTTACAGACAATAACTATCACTGAGCTTTTTCTCTGCCCTAAGCTACAATAAATGACTCTGATTTCATTGACTCTTTGATGGATTTGTATAAATATGAACATTAGTGCTGATCGATGTCTGCCTGCCCATCTTCTCCACAATCACCTCTACCTAAATATTTAAACATTACATTTAGCACTTGCTTGTCTTAATTTCTTACTTACTGAGTATACGTTCTGTGTATGGCCCATTTTATGCTCTCATTAAACCAGTGAGATATATATATATATATATATATATATATATATATATATATATATATATATATATATATATATATATACACACACACACACACACCAGTACCCACCTTATTACCGACATTAAAGTACAGTAGTATAGGCCTATTTAACACCATATACAGTTCAGACAAGACAATTGTATTTCTTATATGAATGTTATTTATTTTAACTGTCATAAACAAGATGTGACAAGTGATCATAATAACAACTGAACTGCAGTAAAACATTCACAGAAGGTGGGACATCCAATGTTTAAGTGATGACGTATGAACCCTGCTTCCAAAACTACTCTGCTTCTGTGGTTTATCATGTTTTAATGCTTTGTATCTTGTTCTATTTAATCTGAACAAGCCCCTAAAACAGTCTGTGATCACCGTCTGCCTCTCTTGTTTTTTATACCGCTAATCATTTTCAAGCTCACTTTTTAAAACCTTACCATTAACTACAGCCCAGCCCATTGAGCAGTATATTAATGACTAACCTTGTATTGTGGGTGGATTATCTCGGTTGTTCTCCTGACTGAAGTTTGGTTCGTTTACAACAACAACAAAACTAGCTTTCATCCTCCAGCTTCACTGTGCATATATTAGACTTGTAGTCAAGACCGCCTAAACCAAGACCAAGACAATACCAAGACCAGAGGGTATCGACACCAAGACAAAGTCGGGATGAGATCAAGACTGAGACAAAAAAGTGTTTAAACTGCAGCCAGATGCTGCTTCGTTTACGCATGTCAGGCATATTTATGTGTTTTTGCGATGCACTCGCACAGCCCTCCTCACCTCTGTCTACTGTCTCACTCACTGAGTGGACAGACGCACGCACCACTTGACTGTCGCATCTCTCACCCTCTGTTTTTCACATAATGATGTTATCCTAGCGAAAGGAAATTAAGTGAGGAGCCGGCTCTCGCTCAATGGGAGTCGACTCTTCTAATTCACTATAAAGCACTCTCTAAGCACGGCTCTTAGAGCCGTTTTGTGCTTGACACATTATCCAACGTTACGTTGTGTGTCATGGATACTGTTGACTCCAAATCTCCTGACCACTATGCTGATCGGAGACGGCAAGACCGAGACAGTGAGAACAAGACAAGGTAACTGGAGTTTGAACTTGTGATCTGCACACACTTTAATGGTGTATAATATGATACTATGGTTAATATAATATGCCTGGCCATGGAGCACTGAGCCTGCTGTGTGTGTCTGTCTCTGGCACTTCATCCATTATTGTGGGGGGGGAAAAAACAGTGTTGAAACCAAGACTGAAAGTGAGATTTATTAAAATAGATATTTGCATATTGACCAACACAACAGCGAGTTTTCACACAGCATTGATACCAAAAAGGGAAAATATCGCCTCTTTTATCTCCATGTGGATACAATCTTTGTCTGTTGTAATGGTGGGGAGTTTTCTTCTCACAGTCACTAGGCATAACAAAGACAGACAAAGTGCCTAATGACCATGAAAACATCTGACAGTTATCTGCATTGGGGTTTTTTGTTGTTGTTGTTTTTTCCATCTCCACACACACTAGATGATGTTAGAAGCTAAATCAGATGAAACACAGATTTCCCACCACATTCAAATAAAAAGAGGTGTTTCCCATATCATTTGGACATCATTCCTTTGGACAACATGGATCTAGTGGGAATCACTTACTACTACTAATAATAATAATAATGGATTGCATTTATATAGAGCTTTTCGGGGCCCTCAAAGCTCTTTACAATTCCACTATTCATTCACACACACTGGTGGAAGCAGCTGCAGTTGTAGCCACAGCTGCCCTGGGGGAAGACTGACAGAAGTGAGGTTGCCATATCACCAGTAGGCGGCAGGTGAAGTGTCTTGCCCAAGGACACAACGACCAAGCCTGTCCGAGCCGGGGCTCGAACCGACAACCTTCCGGTTACAAACGAACTGCCAACTCTTTGAGCCACCATCGCCCCATAAATAAAAGAGATCACTAAACTCACATAGACACAAAACAGGCCTAAATACACACTTGAATATACTCATAACACTGCTGAGTGCACTCTTGGTGATGCGGTGTACCTGTAACCAGCTCTGAAAACTTTTACTTAAAAAGCCAAAGTTGGTCTGTGTGTTCACTTCTGTCTCACAGCCTACGAAAGAGGATTTGAAATTATCAGATTTACATCCTCCTTACAAATAGAGACATCGATTATGGTCCATTAGATTAAACCAAAGAACTAAAGAATAAACATCATTTAAGAAAACTCCAGAAGACTGGGCTATGGCTGGTCTCACTGAAGAACAACAACAGATTCAACTGCAGACTTTAACTTCTAACGGTTCTTTGCTGCTTTACCCCAATTTTCTCAAGATGCTTTTCCATCTGCTTTTTAAACAAGTTTTGTAATATCAGTTGGATATAAAAGACAGTTAATAAATATATATTAATAATACAACTACTACTACTAAACACTACTGTGTCCTAAAGAGGAAAATATTTTTTTTTAAAAAAACTAAAAAATTTAAACATTTTTAGAGCATCGAAATTCATTTCAGAAAAAATCTTGATCTACATATCTATACTTGCAGCAGTTAAATTTAACATTTGGGATTATTCACTGTAGGCCCAGAAATCAGAGCTAGCTCATCAGATCCAAGGGTGACATCAGCTGACACTCTTTACAGGTGACTCCACCTGAACTCTGTGGAGCCTGATCTCAAGTTTTTTAAGTCTGACCCTGAAACCAGGAGAGGATCTTTCTGTCTCTGCAGATTCATTGTGATCTGGGGATTTCAGTTCTGCATGCTCACACTGATGTTTGCAAAGAGCAGATAATGAAGTGAATGTTTTTGCACATTGGTAACAGTGAAACGATTTATTTACAGCGTGGGATCGTTTGTGTTCAGAGTATAAACTGACATTCCTGAAGTTCTTGTCACACTGGTCACAGCTGAAGTTCCCTCTAATGTGTGTACGTTCATGAAGGTTACGACTATTTGAATGTGAGAAGCTTTTGTCACAGTGTCTGCACTTGTATGGTTTCTCTCCTGTGTGGATTCGTATATGCCCTTTAAGCTGACCTGCACTAGTAAAGGATGACCCACATTGGTCACAGAGGTGGTCTTTAACCCCACTGTGAATGAGTTCATGTTTTTTTAATGTACTTGGTGTGGGGAAGCCTTTCCCACATTCTTTGCAGTAGTTCATTTTGTCTCCAGTGTGTCTACGTTGATGTCTTGTTAGGCACTCTTGATGATTGAAAGTTTTTCCACAAAGTTCACAGCGAAACATTTTCCCACCACCACAGTGACGACAAGGTTGAGAACTGGATCCATCTGTGTCGCTCTGCTTCAAAACAAAGACACAGAGACAGTGTAAGTCAGTCCTTCAACATTTTTCTCCTGAACATCGCCTGATATAAGGAGCATCTCTGCCAAAGTCCAATTACATTTTACTGTTTACCTTGCAACATTCAGCTTACTGGGCTACAATTACAATAAGAGTATTGTGACTAGAAAAGCAGTTATTTAGTTGTTTTTTTTATGATCATGAAAGACAAAAATAATAACTGAAGTCTGATGAACCTCTCAGCATTACCTTTCCATCCATTAGAATTACTAACATGCTAACACAATTTAATGAGCAAAGTTGTTCCAAACAGGCAGACTAAAATAAAAACACAAAATAAGAAAATATAAATACATACCTCACAGTAACTGCACTTGTAGCGTTTCTCTCTGGTGTGAATCTGTTGGTGGACTCTCAAGTAACGTGGAGCTTTAAAGGTTTTATCACACAGGTCACATTTATAAAGTCTCTCCTCAGTGTGGCTAAACATGTGGTATTTTAAGTGTGTGGCTGTTTTAAAAGTTTTGCCACACTGATCACAGCAGTAAACATCATGTCCAGTGTGAATGCGCAGGTGTCTATTTAGGTAACTTTTAAAACTAAAGGTTTTACCACAAATGTCACAGCTATATGCCTTAATCCCAGAGTGGATAATTTGATGCTTCTTTAACTTGCTACGATAAGAAAAAGCCTTGTCACACTGATAACAGCTGTATGCTTTAACTCCACTGTGGATGACCTGGTGCCTTTTTAAGTGTCTAGGCTCAAAAAAAGACTTTCCACACAAGTCACAATTGTACGATTTAACTCCAATGTGGATGAACTGATGGGTTTTTAATTGTCCACGCTGAATAAAAGACTTTCCACACAAGTCACAACGGTACGGTTTAACTTGAGTGTGGGAAAGATGGTGTCTTTTTAAGCTTCCAGGCTCGCTAAAACACTTTCCACACAATTGACAGCTGTACGCTTTAACTCCACTGTGGATGAGTTGGTGTGTTTTTAAGTGTCCAGACTGATTAAAGGACTTTCCACACTGATCACAGCTGTATGGTTTAACTCCACTATGGATGAGTTGGTGTCTCTTTAATTGTCCAGGCTCAGTAAAAGACTTTTCACACTGATCACATCTGTATGGTTTAACTCCATTATGGATAAATTGGTGTCTCTTTAATTGTGCGGGACGGGTAAAAGACTTGTCACACTGATCACAGCTGTATGGTTTAACCCCACTGTGGGTAAGTTTGTGTGTTTTTAAGTGTCCAGGCTGGGTAAAATCCTTCCCACACTGATCACAGGTGTACAGTTTAACTCCAATGTGGATGAGTTGGTGGTTTTTTAAGCTTCGCGGCCGAGTGAAAGACTTTCCACAGAAGTCACAGCTGTAAGGTTTAATTGCACTGTGCATGAGCTGATGTCTTTTTAAGTGTCCAGCCGAGGTAAAAGACTTTCCACACAACCCACAGTTGTACAGTTTAACTCCACTGTGGATGAGTTGGTGTCTCTTCAGGTGTTCAGCCCGAGTAAAAGATTTTCCACACAAGTCACAGCTGTAAGGTTTAATTCCACTGTGGATGAGTTGGTGTCTTTTTAGGTGTTCAGCCTGGGTAAAATCCTTCCCACACTCATCACAGCTGTATTTTTTCTCTCCCTTTCTTCTGTGAGGTTTGTCGGCCTCCTGAGAGCGCTGACTTCTCGCTCCATGTTGGTCCTGCAGTGACAGAGATACAAACAGAGGCAGTGAGTGAAATGCAGTCGTGGAACAAACTGAAACTGACTCCATTAGTGGAATCAAAGAAAACAAAAGCACTGTGGGAAGGTGTGTTACCACCACCTTCTGGTGACAGTATCACATTACAATGCTGTGCTACAATGAGAGTTGGAATGCAAATGACATTATTGAAGAAATATTGATCATGGGAAAAAATCTTTTACTTCATAAAAATTGTGAGTGTAACTGAATATATTTTTTTTTTCAATGTGTGCTGATAAAATATGATCTTTGTATTTTCTTGTAACTTCTGTGTGTGATATATTTGTCCAAGAGGGAGATTGGACGAATATATTATTTATTTATTTCCCATGAGTAAGTTTGATAATAATGATGGAGCTAATAGAAGCAGTAAACATAAAAAAAAATTTAAAAAAATAGCACTGTTTTCAAAGCACACTTTTTCATCTGCGAGCAAATGAACCATCCCCAGAGTGCACCCAAATGCTTTTTGATGGAGCTGCAAAAGCTGGTGATAGCCTAGCATACTCAGCCGGATGGTGAACATCTACATGCTTGTGCAAGTTAATCATGTTTGAGTATGTAGAGAGTTGAAAATAGCTTTCTAGTAAAATCTGGTATCAGAAATAAACTGGGGAAAACAGCCCCAACCCCCCCCAAAGGGTTTCTGTTGTGATTGTATTTTTGTGCCAGTCATTTAAAATGCTATCCTACATCCAGCCGCTAGAGGGCGCATTACGCGCAGTGGTATCGAGTAGCGTTTTGGGGCACAGAGAGAGAATAAACCTTCCTGTTGTGAAACTGACATCAGCTCATCATGTGTGTCCCTTTTTCTATTCTTTATCACAGGTTAGTAAATGCATTTAAATGAATGTGTACTGCAGACCTTACAAACAGAGGATGTTGTTTATGTGGGTAATGAGCGCAACTTGCTAAAGAAATGGATTCGTTCTGAGTTGTGTCTGAATTGTGGGTTAAGGCTGGAGGCTAAGTGATGCTAATGCTAGCGGACTTGGCTAATGTGGGATACTGAGGCTGTACCCAAATTCAGGGTCTGCAGCCTTAAAGTACGCAGCCTCAACGATCCTCAAGGGCCGCGTACTCAAAGACCGCTAAGGCCGGAAGTGCGAGGCTTGTGAAATGGGACGGTCTAGCCTCCGTTGCGCTAATACTGTTGTTTGTCAATAAAGTTAAAAAAAAAAAAGAAGCCTCTGTTGCACTGCCCAGGTTGCCTAGCAACCATGATACTAACCACTGGAAACGTGTCATACAGCTTTGTTTGACAGAAATGAAGGAGAAAATCTTTTGTTTATTTGTTTCTTTCTACATGAGCTTTGATCATTCTCTGTAAGATTAAGCTCAGCTACTGAACGGCGTATATTTTAAAGTAAAGGCTTTAAAACCAAGTTAGTACAAACGTCACTAATGTCACATAACTTTGCCGACATGTGGCCAACAGTAATGTTTAATGTTCTTTGTTATCAAAAATTTGCACATAAATAAGTGACATAATATTCAGTACTTAAAGTTCACTCTTCGGCCGCCCCTCATCCGCCGTTTTTTTCTGCAAATTTATCCACACCCATCGCCGCGCTATGCATTCTGGGATATGTTGGGCCACGAAGTCTACACTGCCACAGCCTTAAAATTCAGGGAAATGAAGGACGCATTTCGAGCAGCCTTTGAATTGGGACAGCCTTCGGCGCGCCGCTGTGACGTAATTGGCCTTGAAGTCCGTACTTTAAGGCTGCAGACCCTGAATTGGGAGACAGCCTGAGTGTGTGTGGGGAAGCTAATCTGACCTGTGAGAGACTTCTGGACTGTGAACTCTTAATGTATTATGCACTCTGATAAATGGGTTTATACTATGTTTTACTCTTCTGGTTGATGTTGTGGTTACAAGAACAAGTTTGTGGTTTAATACAAAGACATTTATAGAGTGTTATAAGGAAACTGTTTGATCAATGCTGACTGCACAGTAGTAGTGAACGCTGTTAAAGGAGCACTGCACTCTATATAGTTGTAGGTTGTATAAGAACAGTAAATATGTTTGTTTTATGTCAAAGACATTATTTTCTTGTAAACAGTAAAATAGCTATATTTAAAAAAACAGAAGTTACAATGTCAGTACAGTGGAATTTCACATGAATAATTTAGTGCTGAACAAGAATTAAAATGTTTAAAAATGAGTTAATTTTATGATGTTTGTAAATGTAGTTAAAAATGAAGTACAGAGTACACTATTGTGTTTTGTTTATCTTTGTGAAATAAGTGTGGTTATTGTGATACATTGTGGATCTGACATATCAACATTTTGTTTATGTTTTGTCAAAGTTGTATTGAGAGATTTATACAGTCTCGAGCTCAGGGAGCTGTGGCCATGTATGGTAAACTGGACTGAAGCATAAGGCCATTTCTTTGCAGTTAGTGTGGTGATACCTGAAGCTGTTCTAAGCTGTTGTGAAGAATAAACCTTCCTGTTGTGAAACTGACATCAGCTCAAAGTGTGTCCCTTTTTCTATTCTTTATCACAGCACCACACGTTGTTGAACAGGAAACCAGTTGCCCCTCTGGTCATCATCTTAGGGAGGCAACAAGTACTTTGCTCAAACTATACATCTGCACAAGCAGCACACCACCTTGGTCACATTCTGTATGTATGGAGGCACCCGGGATGGAAAAGATAAAGCTGCTTTTAACAACCAGCTGTGCACAGTTTCAATAACAGTAACCGAGATATTTTTCTCACCTCCTGTGTTGAAGTCATCGTTTCCTCTGTAGTGGCTGAGCTGAATCCAAATGGCTGAAACTGTTCCTCTGCTGCTCCACCAGACTCTTCTCCTCCTGTTACTCAGCTGGGACACAAAAGTATAGATATGTATTTTATCCCTGACAAGAAGAAGCAGAGCAAATAAACATTACTACACTCAGTGACAACAATACCTATGAAGCTTCAAGGTGAAACCCCAGAAGCAGCTACAAAAAGACAGTTATCAGTTGCCTAAAAGAAATTGAAAGGGGAAAAGCCACTAACTGCCCTGCATACAACCACCTTTACCCAGGGGATGCTACACCCTGTATATATGGACTTCCACAGATACACAAAGAGGGAGTCTCACTCAGACTCGCTGAAGGGCAAAGTTCAAATTAATGTTGTTTATACATCGCCAAATCGCAACAAAATGATTATATTAGATCAAATATGACAAAATGTGGATTTTACAGTAGCAACAATATTGTATCTCTACAGTTTAAATATTTAATAAGCTTTCTGCCAACACAGAAAATTTACTGTAACAACCAAATTTCCCCTTGTGGGACAATTAAAGGATTATTCCATTCTATTCTATTCTATATTTTTCTATTATTATTTTATTATGGATTAATTTTGTTTAATCAGCTACCATCTCTCCTATGGACTTTTTAATGTCTACAGTCCCAGATCAACACAGCCCTGTTCTCCATGACTATCAGCAGCAGGAGCAGCAGCAACACCCCAACAGCAACATTGTTCCCATCAGGTAAAACGTGGGCTACGTTAGCTTTTTATTGTCCCCACCTGATGACAGTGATATAGTATGATGTTACTCCAAATTAGATTCTTGATGAATGTGTGTTGTTGTTATTCAGCCTGGTTCTATGTGCCCCTTTTTAAACTCTGATCCATGTACGGCTCTGGTTAAAATGAAGTAAGGATGGCAGTCAAAACAGTGAAGCTTAGCTGAGCTAAACTGTGATGTCATCAAGTCGTTCAAATGATATAATGATTGTTATCCGGTTCTCAAGGAGGTCCGGAATCCTCAGTCAACTTGCGAAGTGCGGACTTGCGTACTTGAGTGTTCAGAAACGATCTAGACAGTAACACAGATGTGTAGCATCGCCAACTAGCGAGCAACAAGCCTCTTACACAGTGCGTATGCTAACAGCTAGCCTAGCCAACGACTTAACAACAGAAGCTACAGAGTGATGTTGTATAAAACTCCAAGATGTTATAGTGCGTGCCTTTTAATTGTGCCGACGTGGTATTTACCTTAGTTTAACGAGTCGTTAGGCGCAGTAAACACATCAGCAAATAATGCGCTATCAAGTAGTGATGTGACGTTCTGTATCGAGGCTTCAAAGCTTGTGTCGAGTAATTGAGGGAGCGTTTCCGCGATGCGCGGCTTGCTTCATTTATGGGAGGAGCTGAAAATGATGACGTCCGAAGCCTCGCTGCCCGGCTGTACCACGTGACTGGTTCAGGAAGTGGTTCGAATTTCGCCGCGAGATATGACAGCGATATAAACCCCTCAGACTTCAATCAAAATGTAGGTGTTTGATGGAGAGTTGCGGTTAGTGAGAGTTTGGAGATAGTTTGGAGGTTTATGAGAGTGAGGAGAGAAAGTCAGGAGAGAATGGAGCCAGCTAAGAAGAGGAGGATGTCCTCCCCTGTGTGGGAACATTTTGATCTTATTCCTCCCAACAAGGTATGTAAATTTCTACAGAAGATGTATTGTCATGATACTGATGGTGCAATACAATTTATGTTAAGCTGTCTTTACTTTTGTACAAGGTGAAGTGTTTGCTATGTGCCAGGGAGCTGGGATATAACAACACCTCATCCATGCTTAGGCACTACAGAGCTTTGCATGAGAATAAGGGGAACAGCGATTGTGGAGCAAGACCAGGTGAGCCATCAAATGCCATGATGATATGGCATGCCGTAATGTTACTAAATAATATAACAATAGTATACAATGCAATAAGTTACGTGTGTGATATTTATATTTGTGCTTTGTCTTTGTCTTTCCTCAGAGAACCATCTCAAATAGATGAAGACCTGGTCAGCATGGTGATTGAGGACTCCCAGCCATTTAGCATTGTGGAGGACAAAGGATTCAAAAGATTTGTTAAATCATTAAATCCTAGCTATGTTCTCCCCACTAAAAAGGTCATAAAAGCAGTGAAAATTTAGTTTTTACTGAATAAAATATGAACAGGCAGGACTGAGGCCTCAGTGTGTAGCTGTCCATACCTCAACGTTACAAAAGCACTACTGTCCACACCCCAACCACACCTCACCTCACAGTAAATGATCGTTTCCATTTTAAGCATTTCCAAATAATCATTTTCCATACTGCCAGTGTAATTAAACACAGTATACTACATCACCACAATATCGATGTTTTACACACTCCTTTTGTTGTTGACATTTACAGGCTGTGTGCAAAAGGCCACACTCTTCAAATTCATGCCAGCTATTATTTTTACGTCCAATTGGATGAAAAGCTTCAGTGCTTCATGAAGCTTCATCTGCCCATCACTACTATCAAGGGCACACACACAAGAGCATCTGCAGCCACTGAGGAGCGACCTCCACATAAACAGAAACACGTGACCTCCACAGTAACCGGAAACACGTAACTCATGCTGCTAATAAATACATTTGGTTCTAAGTGGGGGGGTTTTAACACTCTGGGTTTGTTAAAAAAAAAAATCACCATTCCTTCAGATTGTTTGTGGCTAAAAGTGTCCATGTGTTGTTTTTGTTTCTTTGCTACTTTTTCTGCATAAAGGTTTTTTCATAAATATAAACTAGTCATTACTTACATTACTTACATTTTTAATCATTCAAACACCTTTTTCTAGTACAATGCACTTGTTTGAAGACAACCTAAAAACTCACCATTTCATATATCAGCAGTGCTACTGGAAAACAGTGGTCCCTCACGCGGTTCATCTTTCACTGATTTTTTTTCCTTTGGGTCGGTTTCCCTGGGGCTTTTCCCCTGTTGTGGTCTGTGTCTTATATTGAAAGAACTATTTACGCGTTACCATAGCGACCAGAGAGCATCAAGAAGCTGAGAGGAGGTTGTTACTCTCAATGTTGTTGGCACATTTCAGGAGGACGCTGCTAATAAAGTTACACAATTACACAGCCGAATTTGCGTTTATTATTATATTTACAAAATACCACAGTTTTCGTCTTTGTCTGTATCATTTTATTCTGTTGTATTTATCTGCAACACCTTAAAGGCCGGTCCGTAAAAATATTGTCTAACTGGTCCGTGGTGCAAAAAAGGTTGGGGACCGCTGCTGTACAGTACAGAATGCTTTTAGCTTGTCGAATTTATATAAATCTGCTGACAAAACGTTTTGCACGGTTTCATTTTATCATGGAATTATGTTTCTATGATGGGTTGAACTTTAGGAGTGTTTAAACAAAAGAGAAAAGTGTGAAAATGTTACAGTTAAATTTTTTACTTTAAGCATGGACATGGAAACAAGTGAACAACATTTTATAATAAGCTTAATTGGAATTCTGTACACTGAAAAAAAAGCAACAACACATAAAAACACAAACAAACAGCCAGTGACTTCATCTGTCCATTAAATGTCAAACATCACATTGACCCGTAGTCCCTGCTCGTCAGCACATTTAAAAAGAGCTCCATGTCCTCTGCAAACTGAAAAACAAAGAGGAAGAAGTCCCTCTACACAAAAACACTGCAGATGACAGGCCAGGAAAACACCTATTGATCTGTTTGAATGCCTCCTCATCATGTGAGCCTTGAAGTTTTTTTTAAAAAAAAAGACTATTTTCATGGACTTTCCACAAGCCACAGTTTCATTCAGCACAGAGGGAGGAGCACATGAATGTTCTACCGAAGATTCAGAAAATGGTTTAGATGCTGGAGACAAGACAACGAGAGGGAGATGGGGCTCCACGGAGAGTTCAGTGGGGAGCAGGCCTGAATGCTGACATGACAATAATTGCCTTGCCATATCCCCACGCTGTATGACTGTCATGTTACAGACAGGGCAGTGAAAGTGCACCGGCATATCATTTTGTCTGTAAGAGAGAGAAAAACAACATGTAATTTAAATGTAGTTGTATAGAATGCAATCAGTTTATCTAACAATCAGATTGTACATATTAACAAAAACATCCAAGCCATCCTCAATAATGAAAGCAAAATGGTGTGGATCACAAGAGCTGTCAGGAAATGTGGTGAACAGGAAAAAAACATTTAATGAAAACACACTTTTTCTCTCACTGATGAATGAACTGAACTGTACAATGTGAAAAGCAACTTTAAAGTCAACAAAGAGACTGCAGAAGTGCTGAAAAGAAGTGCATATTTATAACTTTAACTATGAGGTATATTTAATACCAACATACCTTTGAAAGGCAAAGCATTTTTAACAGAATGGAATAGAGAATATTAGTATTTATAAATATGTAAACCCCTTTGTGACGACCTTTACAATGTTGATGCAGATGGAATGAGAGACATGAATAAAGTGCAATATGCAGTAAATGGAACAACGTGCATTGATGTTACAAATAGTGAAAAGCAGTGAAGTGAATTTGTTCATAACAAGCAAAAATCAAATACGTTTGAAACTGACCACTAAATGCTAACCAGAGGTGTCAAAAGTGCACATTCCTTACTAAAGTTTAGATAGGGTTGGAGCTATTTGTTCTTTATTATTATTATTATTATTTTGAAATTAGTTAAAGTTTGTTGTTAGTTTACTTAAATTTTGGGGTTTATTTACAAGTTTATTTGTCAGTTAAAATTTTGTTTCAATGTTTTGTTTGTTTGGTGTTACCTTGTTAAATTAGTCAGTAAAAGCTGTAGGGCCATTTTGTTTCTATAAATAAAGAGACTGGTATAGGACCAGCATGCACTGGGGTGGGCCTATTGGTTTTTTACCAGAGCAGGAGAAGCAGCAGGAAGTAACAAAAAATGGATCTTGTTATTGCTTGCCAAACTGGATAAATAAACCATAAAAACGCAACTTTCAAGTTTGGACAATGGACTTCTTTTGCCTGCGTACGAAATATTATCTCAGTGCAGCAGTGGCTTGTGAACTTTTAATTGTGGGATGTTTGGTTGGTCAAACAAAAGGAATTGCCACTACAACCTCGGGGGTATGACCGTTGTTGTAACGCTAACAAAGTGCCAACGTAATCAGTGTAAGCAAACTAGATGATTCCTAGAATTATATAATTATTAACGGTGAATTTATACATGGAAGACTCTGTACCAACCTTTACGATCCACTTGCAAGGTTAAGGATCCATGCAGAAACGAGACAAGAACGTATTTCTGCCTACTATGGAGGTCACGTGTTTCCGGTTACTGTGGAGGTCCCAATATGGTGCTCCCCAGTTGCTGCAGCCAGACCCTTCTCTGAGAAGGAGCAAATCCAGTCACTACTGTTGCTACCCGATTCATACTGGAAACCCGATCGGTACCCCGCATGCGCAAATCTTACGTCACTTCCTCTCTTTGCCAGCATTGCGACATTCTATGGTCGTGTCCAAATTCATGGGCTGCATCCTCCTGAGGACCCGGCCTTCGCGGCCTACGTGGGCCGGGTCCTCAGAAGGTCGGGTAGGCCGGAAGTAAACGGCCGTGAAATTGGACGGTCTAGCCTTCTAATTAGCGTCACCGCTGTCTCGGTGGAGTTTAATAAACTCAGCCGTCTGCTCCTTGCTATCTAAAATATTACAGGACACTGGAGGAAACTCTCGACCGTCTCACACTTCTGTTTAATCAGTTTTCTGTTTGACGTTTAGTCAGCTGTGTAAAAACCAAGGAGGAACCCACCCGGGGGATTAATAAAGTTTTATTTTATCTAATCTAATCTAATAACTTTAATCTCAGCAAAACCGATTTACTCACGAACAAACAAAACACTGAAAAAAGCCCAACAATAACATTTTTAGGTTGTCTAAGTGACTTATATATTACGTTTAACCCGAGCAGCGAAACTCCGCGGTGATCTGAAAATGATGTGCCGGGAGTTGTGCCGTTCTCGGCTGCATCAGTAACCCTCGAGCTCCCGGCGAGCTATCGAGCTGGTGGGTAACAGACGTCTCTGAAAACGTCGAAGCACTTTTGCAAATATGCGATATCTTGACAAACCGAGCTGATATTTGATGTTTACAAAACTACTTTCTCGCCTGAAAATATGTTAAAAGTTTATTTTCTGACCCAGAAAGATTAGTAGGAGTAATTTTAAAACTTAGTAGCGGCCGCCATTGTTGGAAACTGGAGTTTGGCTGGGCCGCGCTATGAATTCTGGGATATGGTAGGCCACGAAGGACACACCCGACCCATCCTTCAAATTTGGGGAAAAGGAGGACGCATTTGT